AGCAACTGGTCGGCGCCAGCAAATGCACCTGGGGACCCACCTACTGGTGTGACAATTTCAGGTGAGCGTGCAGGGGGGTCGGGAGAAAAGTGACAAGTCATCGAAATTATCTAGGCGAAAACGCAGTTCTTACGCGAGAGAGAGAGAGGCCTCTCCCCGGTTTGTTCATTGTTTGCAAGCCATAAGGCATAAGTGTTCGTTGCCAACGATAAGACAATCAACAATCAATCTCCCTGGAGTCCGCAATAGTCGCCATTCCCGATAACCTTTGTGGCGACTGTTCTAGTTCCTCGGTCCTATTCTTGTTCTCCCTCTAGCTCTCCCTTCTCTCTGTATTGTTCAGCGCGCTTTGTTTTCGCGCTTGCTGCCGTTAATCAAATTAACAATCCGCAGCTGCAGCTGAACAAAGTTAATCGCTGGCCTGGCGGCTGCTTTATCAACTGAACCGGCCGCCCGCCCCACTATTTGCATGACTAACTTTGCAGAGTTCATGCGATCCGGGGATCAACTTACAGCCGATCTGCTCCGCTCTGCTCGTTATCGTTGAATTACAGCAGAAACCATACGTTGAGCCCCCTGACTAATCCCCGATTGCATGTGTCACATATGTATGAGAGTAGTTCTTGGGAATTGGGAGGGTTCCGTTACTTTTCGTTGGACTTATCGCTGGATGTGCCGTATAACCCATTCCTTTGTTCATTGATTGATTTATTTTTAAACACTCAAGGAAAATCCAGCATTTCTCAACGCGTTCTTTGTGTGAAAACATTTTGCAGACGCCGAAATAAAAACGTCGCCATTGCAAAAATATTAAAAACAATATCACATACACCATATAATATTTGTGTAGATGTACGTAGATATACGACCCATACTCGTACACACACATAAAGACATTTCCGTGCTTATCTTTTGTTGTTTTTTCCCCACACCACTCTCTAGACATATTTAGCTGTTGTGTTTTTGTGCCGAAGGCAACACACATATTTGTGTTGTTAATAAGCATTAGAGCCATTAGCACATCCAAATCCATTCCAAAGATGAAATACATGCAATATAATGTCCAAATATCCCAAATAAATGGATCAGATCCACGCAAAATATTATCCACTGTCGATAATCAGTCAGTAATCACATGCTCTGCGGGTGCATTCAACTGAAAGGGACGCGCACCATTCGCTGTTCGCTCTTCGCATTTCACTTTGGTTTCGGTAACTTCTCCCTTTTCAGCAGTGGACTCTGCTCTCTCTGCTGACTTGGCGTTGCCTTGGTCACTCGATTACGAATGCGGGTCATTTGCTCTGTTGAGGTCTTACTGCTGCATCAGCCTAATCATAATTGCTTATCGTTTCGGAGAAATTCAAGCTGACTGTCCCTTTGTTGTTCTTTGTTCTTTATCCGCTGCAGCAACTCCAAGGAATGCAAGGCTACCAGACACTGCATCCAGACCGTGTGGGAGAAGAAGGTGGTGCCCGTGGACACGGATTCCATCTGCCAGATATGCAAGGACATGGTGACGCAGGCCCGCGACCAGCTGAAGAGCAACGAAACCGAGGAGGAGCTGAAGGAGGTCTTTGAGGGTTCCTGCAAGCTGCTACCCATTAAGACCATCCAGAAGGAGTGCATCAAGATGGCTGACGACTTCCTGCCCGAGCTGGTTGAGGCCCTGGCCTCCCAAATGAACCCCGACGTGAGTCTGCTCTCCCGTAATCCATTGAATCCCTTGCTTATTATACTTTGTTGGCTCTGCCTCCACAGCAAGTTTGCTCTGTGGCCGGTCTCTGCAACAGCGCCCGCATCGACGAACAGCTGAAGCAAGCCTACCAGGCGGCACTCGAAGGTAAGGTGCCCCTGGACGAGGAAGATGACTCAACAGAAGAGACCAGTGTGGCCCTGAAGCCCAATCAGCTGTCCTGCGGCAACTGCAACCTGCTGTCGAACATGATTCACCGAAAGTTCGAGGCCGCCAACCGCGACGAAATGGTGGAGCAGTTCCTGCATGTGTGCGGCTCGCTGTCCAGCTTCTCGGACGCCTGCGCCAACATTGTGCTTACCTACTTCAACGACATCTACGAGCATGTGCGCCAGCATCTGCACACGGACGGACTCTGCCACCTGTCGGGAGTGTGTGTCTCGCGGTACCACCAGCATGAGGAGGACAAGCAGGAACCCGAGGCTCTGGTCGCTTTGGATGCCGGTGATGACATTCCCTGCGAACTGTGCGAGCAGCTGGTAAAGCATCTGCGCGATGTTCTGGTGGCCAACACCACGGAGACGGAGTTCAAGCAGGTGTTGGAGGGCTTCTGCAAGCAGTCGCGCGGCTTCAAGGATGAGTGCATCAGCATTGTGGACCAGTACTACGATGTGATTTACAACACACTGGTGAACAAGCTGGATGCCAACGGCGCCTGCTTCCTCATTGGCGTTTGCCCCAAGAACGCTGCCCCCGCTTCAGCCGTTGCCCCGATCATGCCTCTCCTGCCCGTCATTGAGCCCGCCCAAGTCCAGGTGACCATCAAGAAGCTGCACAAGCTGGGTGCCAACGAGCCCAAGTTCACCCAGGACGAGCTCATTGGCATGCAGCTGCCCATCGACCATCTGATGGGTGCTGCCAACCCCAGCACACTGGTAGAGGGCGGCGAGCTGTGCACCATCTGTGAGTACCTGCTGCACTTCATCCAGGAGACACTAGCCACACCCGCCACCGATGACGAGATCAAGCACTCCGTCGAGAATATGTGCACCAAGTTCCCCAGGGGCGTTGCCGGCCAGTGCCGCAACTTTGTGGAGATGTACGGAGATGCCGTGATCGCCCTTCTTATCCAGGGACTTAATCCCCGCGAAGTGTGCCCTAAGCTGCAAATGTGCCCCCACAATCTGGACAACAAGGAGGACATTGAGGTGTTCCACCCGGTTCCCGTGACCACCGGCGATCAGCAGGATCAGCCCACATGCCCGCTGTGCCTCTTTGCCGTTGAGGCTGCCCAGAGCAAGATTCGTGACAACAAGTCCAAGGTGAGCATCCCACAACAGCCACACAGATCTCTCGCTAACTTCCGTCCATGTTTGTTGTTTTTTTTTCAGGATAACATCAAGAAGGTTCTGGCCGGTCTCTGCGCTCATTTGCCCAACAAGTTGAGGGCCGAATGCGTTGACTTTGTGAACACTTACTCCAACGAACTGATCGACTTGCTGATCACCGACTTCAAGCCACAGGAGATTTGCGTGCAGCTCAAACTCTGCCCCAAGACCAAGAACTATCTGGATGACATGGGAATCAGCATGGAGGATGACGAGTCGAGCAGCAGCGAGGAGATGATCTTCAACGAGGTGGGATCCTTCGAGAATTTGCCCATTGAAGTCGTCTTTGAGAAGGACTACAATGGTGCCCCCAACTGCCTGGTCTGCGAGGAACTGGTGAAGACTGTAGAGAAGAAGATGGGCATGCACCCCACCAAGGAAAGCATCAAGCAGGCGCTCGAGCAGTCATGTGACAAGTTTAAGAAGCCAGTGGCCAGCAAGTGCCACAAGCTGATCACCAAATTTGGTGACCAAATTGCCGACCTCCTGCTGAAGGAGATGGATTCCAAACTAATTTGCACCGAGCTGGGAATGTGCCTGTTCTCCGAACAAGATGATCGTGAGTATAATCACAATCAAAGCAGTGGAACCAATTAACTATACTGTGTGTGTCCCTCCCTGTAGTTGTTATTGACGAGGCCCTCAAGTACGATGTCATTGCTCTGCCCCATCCGTCTCATCAGTTGGCCCGTCTCGAAGAGTCGCCTAAGCCCAAGGAGCCGCCCACCTGCGTGCTCTGCGAGTTCATCATGACAAAGCTGGAGGCTGATTTGAAGAACAAAACTGAACAGGATGATATCAAGCGTGCCATTTTGGCAGTGTGCGACCACTTGCCAGCCACCGTGCGCAAGCCGTGCGACACCTTTGTCGAAGGCTATGCCGCGGCCGTCATCGATCTGATGAGCAAGGTGCCGCCCAAGGAGGTGTGCCAGAAGCTTCAGCTCTGCCTAAGCCAGGTGGTAACCGATGCAGTGATCGAGTGCGGTGTCTGCCACGGCGCTACCCAAGTCCTCCTGCCCTTCCTCAGCGCCCACTCAAAGGAGACCGATGTGACCACAGTGGAAATGACCTCGGTGGCTTGCGAGAACTTGCCAGCCAAATACTACAGCATTGTAAGCTTTCTTTCTATTTACCCCCTCACCAAACCTGGCTAATTCTTTTATTTTCCTAACCGCCCAGTGCTCCAAAATGATCTCCATCTATGGCAACAGCTTTAAGCATCTGTCCGAGCGACCTTATGTGGATCAGTCGCACGTGTGTGCTGAGATTGGCAAGTGCTTTGACAGCGAGAAGTCATCGCTGGCCTTTGCCAGAATTTCAGGTAAATTATTCATTTATAAAATGCATAACCCCCACTGACAAATTTCCACTTTCCATTTCTAATTGAAGCCTAAGATCCGATCGCGTGATACGCGACAACCGCATTGTGATGTGTGGTGGATTGGGTTGGAGTCGAGTGAAGGAGGAGGAGGAAGAGGGTGACACAGTCCCACGCTTTATACATACATATATCTTTACATAATCCGTTTACATTCTATAATGATTTACTGTACATGAGAACGACCCTTACTTACTTTATTTCCGCACTCTATTTTGGATTGATTTTCGGTTCCAAATTCGGCTCCAAATTGGTTAAGAGATGAAGAGATTTGTGATGAATATATGAAGATACTAAATGATTTTAAAGTGCACGCGAACACCGGGCTGAACAAGTTGAACTGTAACAGAAACTAAAATTAACACTAAGCTGTAACTTAATCATACATTCAATATAAATATTAGCGAATCAACAAAAAAAAACTCCTCCAACTGCGTATCTGTCGATTTCTTCGATCAGTGTGCCTAGTTTAAGCAGTCGAAATGTGTTAAATAATATTTCATAAACGAAACGGAGAGACCATAGCAAGCAGCACGCTTATTGTAAAATTCCCATTCCAATTTCTGGATCCCTTATATATTTAGTATCACATCATGTTTGAGAACTCGCTGCTGATCATTAAGCCAGACTATATACACAAGCGTCGTCCGGTGCTACTAAAGCTGCTGGCCGAAGGATTCCTGCTTAAGGGTAGCCGCAAGCTTGCCTTCTCCCCGGAATTGGCAGCCGAGTTTTATGCGGACTATGCCGACGAGAAGGGCTTCATGCTGGAGGTTATACTGCTCTCCAAGGGCGTCTCTGAGGCTTTCATTGCGACCAAAGAGAATGCCGTGCAGTCGTTGCTCAACACCATGATTTGCTACTTGTAAGTGTGGCCCTACCTTTCGCGGCAGATCATTCCATTCCATATGTTCTCATTGCACCTGCAGCGGAACATCCGCAGACCTAGAGCGCAACATTCACGTGACCAAAAACGCACAGAGCGTGGCTCGCGAGATCAACTTTATATTTCCCAACTGTGAGTAGCATTGGACTGGCATTCATTCCCTTCATCCTTTATCCTCTCTGCATGTCATCAGACATCCACGAGCCCACAGCTTTGTTCGAGCGAAATAGATTCTGCAACCGACCTATGCTGAAACAGCTGATCGAAGAGGTGTACGACATCCTGCAGAATCCGGACTGCAGCCAGGACAACTGGAAGGTGCGGGTGTCCGACTACTTGGTGCGCAGCAATCCCAAGGTGCCGCGAGTCAGCAACCAATGCCAGGTGCGTCCCAAAGTGGGCATCCAGAACAAGGCGCAGCAGACCGTGACGACATATCCAACGGCCGCTCGGGACGCCCAGCTGAATTCCAAGAGTATCAGTTCCGTGCTGTCCAGCACCTCACCGCACTCCTCCATGCTGCTAACATCCTCCTCGTGTGTGACTTGCGGTGGCTTCGATCGCTCCGAGCCGTGCATCTGTGAACTGGACCTGAACAAGCGCGTGGAGCCCCAGAGCGATGAGCCTGCCTGCGTGGAAGAGGAGATATTGTGGAAGGAGGTTATCGTCTATGAGGAAATCGTTCCCGAGGAAGAGGAGTCCAAGGACGAACGCTTTGAGATCGAGGAGGAGGCCGCAGGCGAGGAGGCTGCCAGTTCGGATGTTGAATCGGATCACAGTGCGGTTGCACCGCCTCCGCCCCCAAAGCCTGAAAGCGAGTCTGAGTCTGAGGCAGAAGCTCCTCCAGTTGATGCCGAAGAGGCGCCCGCTCCAGCTGCGGCTGATTAGGTCTCCCCCACACCTGTTGCCCCATCATTTAAGCTTTTCCAAATGTTTTTTTCTGTTGCGTTCTGCCTCTATCCCTGTCCCTGGCCCAGCATAGGAAAAAATGTGAAAACTGCAAACAAAAAAATGCGCGCAATTTATTTGCCTCCCTCCCTCCCGCTGGTAATCCCGTCCTCCTGCAGCTGTGGCAATGCGCACTCGCAGAAGTGGGAAGGGAAGAGTACTGGGCCTGCAGTTTTTCAGTCGGCTTCAGGCCCGTCCATCCACACACACACACACACACACCGTCACTGGGGACGTGGCAAGTACAGCAACAGAGGCCCAACAGCGTCGTCAGAGCGCTTTCGACTTTCCCGCCAGAGTGAGCAGAGTTTTCCTTTTCATTTTTCCTGCAAGTGTCCAATAAAAAACGGAGCAAAAGAGAACAAAACTGTGGCAACAAATATAATTTATGGGCCACGCGAGTGTGCCTGTGTGGCATACATACATAGTTCTTGTACAGCAACCAACGACGAACAGCAACCTGCAACCTGCGAAGGCAATTAACCCAATTATAGGGCGGACAATGGACTAATTGCAGCCAATTGAAATTGCATCGATTTTTCCGATTTACCTGTGGGGGAACGGGAAGATATTTGCATTTGATTTGTGTCCATAAAAGTGTCTCTAATGCAATTTGACCCAAATTGAAGCCGATATGTTGCACACATACGCGCCTCCGCCACAATCCGCAGCAACAGTTGCCGCTGTCGAGGTGGGCCAGCAACTGTTGCCGCTGCAGGGACTACGAGTACATGCAACAAATGGCAGCCACGACGATCTTAACTTCACCTCCTTCGGCGAGCTGTGTCGCCTGTGCGTCATCCACCAGGGACCGGCCAAGATCAACCTCTTCGAAGGGGAGGCCGTGCAGCGGCAGCTGCTTCAGAAATTACGCAGCCTGCTGCAGGCGCACGTAAGTAGTAAGCGGATGACCAAAATGTGCCTCTCCTGTATGTCCGACTGCTTCGCAGGTCGCCGAGGAGGACCTCATGCCACAGTACATCTGCGAGCGGTGTCTGGCCCGGCTGGAGCACCTGCACGAGTGGCGCGAGATCTGCCGCAGCAACGAGCAGACGCTGCGGAAGTATGCCCACGCCATGCGTACAGCAAGAAGCACGCTACACTTTCAGGTAAGCTCCGCACAGTGGACGCGCAAAGCTGAAAATCCCTCACATATATTTTGAAGACTGTTTAGGCGACCCACGAACCACTGTGCTGTGATAAGCAGCCCCAACAATGCCATTGTGAGAGCTGCTGCAGTTCCTCTGGCTGGTGTCGTGTTTCAATGCCAGACCGTTCCTCCAGCAACCACCACCGTGCCGCCACAATGGCGAGAGGTGAGAGTGGGAGCGCAAGACTGAAATGGGAAAGAGAGCAGAAAAAGCTCTCGTGCGAATCTCAGCTCCGACGCCGTTCGCTATGCAATGCTTTCTGCTCTGCTCTGCTCCGTGGCGTGCCGTTGTGCCGCTTCCGCCTTGCTTTGGCTTTCAGTATCTGTCTGCCGCTGCCTCTGCTAGCGTCGTCGTCGTCGCCGCAACCTTCCCATTCGTCCTGTCCGGCACTCGCTCCGTCTTTTCGAGCATAACAAATAATTACTCAAACACTCTGCTCCGCTGCTCCACGACTCCGGCAAAGTCAGGAGCAAAAGCAAAGCTTTCCCAGCGACGCGGACAGAGACAGCGACTGGACTGCGCTTCGACTGCGACTGCGACTGCGACAGCGGCAGTGACTGTGGCCGAGGTGGCAGTTTCGCAATATACATACACAACAATAGGCGCTGGGCTCTGGCTCGAGGAAGTAGACGGCATCCAACTCCATTTGGCTTAACGATCTCCCCCGATTTCCGTTTTCCGATTCCCGTGTTCGCGTTTGTGAAAATATTAAAAAACAGAATCTGACCGTAACTACCAGCGCTTTTTCGTGTGCCGTGTGTGACTACATTTGTGCGCCAAACGGCCGAAACGCTGCCCCGGGAACAACCGAGCGGCCATTTCGTATTGATTTTCGACTGTGGTAAGAAGGAAAACGCCAACTGGCAGTGAAAACGTCAATAGCCCCTGCGTGGCGGGGTACGGCATCAGGAAGTGAACTGTGAGACTGGCCAAGTGCGCGAGTGGTGGCGGGTGCCAGGGTGAGGAAGGTGCAAGGGTGGACAAAGGTGCACAATTGCCGCGTTAACGGTGGAAAGGCAATGCTAGAAAAAGATCTGCACTATGGCGGGTAGCGCGCTTAAAATAAATCCGTGCAGACATGGAAAAGCCCCACACCGCCGGACAAGGAGACGAAGCCCGGGCCAGGCCGGAGCAACCGGCATACACACACAACCACAAAGATGTTAGGGAGGGGGTCGCTCTGGCCAAAGGGTGGAGGATGGATGGTATGGCGAGAAAAAGCTCAAGTCACAAATTTTTGCGCAAGGGCAGGCCGAGTGCTTAAGTGCTTTTGCTCCGGGGGGGGTGGCGTGTGTTGCGTATCCAACAGCCGCGCGCCGCTGACGTTGACGAAATTTCGCAACACCCCCCCACAGCTCTCCCGTTAGTTTGTTAGGGGTGGCAGTGGCAGCAGGAATGGAACGAAACCCAAACGAAACGAGACGGAAACGAAACAAGCGCGAAACCAAGAAAGAAAGACGGCAGAACGACTGGGGTCAGATACCCTGGAGATATTGTTGTTGATCTATTTATCAGTTTGAAGCAACCATCATACAGTGGCTATTTTTTATATCTCTGGATTCCTGGTCATGACTGGAATGTTTCCATTAATTTCTCCTCAAAAATTCCCGAGTCCAAACTCAGAGACATACGGATACGCGCTCACAGGCATTGGGTTTTCAGAGATATTTCGACTATATATTTATCATATATAATTTTCCTCCCGCAGGACGGCGCCGTTAACATGGACAAGATGACGGTGGCCCAGAAGAACGCATATCTAGAGGCCCATATGGCCGTACAGCAGCAGATGGCCCAGGCGGCCATTCAGTTCAAGCAACAGCAATCCTCCCAGCAGCAGAACTCCCCCTCGGCCAACAACAATAATCAGAATAACGGCATGCAACAGCAGCAGCAGCAGCAACAGCATTACGCGGCCACCATCAAGGTGCCACAGATCAGTTCCTCGAGTGCGGCCGCCGCCGCGGCAGGCGGGGAGAGCACCTTCACGGTGCCGGATGACGGGATGGGCTTCGAGGGGGGCGTCCGTGTGCTGCAGAGCCTGGGCACCTGGTCGGCGGCGGAGCAGCTCACCTACAACATACCCAAGCCGAACCTCATACCATTCACCGAGCCGTATGTCGAAGGCGGTTCCATGCATCCGGCCAGCCGGCTCAAGGCGCTGCAGCAGGTGCAGCAGGCCTCCTCCGGCGTTCGCAAGACAAATCCCTCGAAGTGTGAGTATACCAGAGGATTCTCTCGTCCTGGCCTTGATTAATAACCTTCTCTTGCAGCCACCAATAAGGCGTTCGAGTGCACGGTCTGCGGCAAGGGCCTGGCCCGCAAGGACAAACTCACCATCCACATGCGCATCCACACCGGCGAGAAGCCCTATATTTGTGAAGTATAAACTGCCCTAGATCCCCCTGGCCCCGGCCTCTGTCTGGGGGAGTAGCCTCTAACCTTCTTTTTCCCTTCCTTCCTCAGGTGTGCAACAAGGCATTCGCGCGGCGGGACAAGCTGGTTATCCACATGAATAAGTTCAAGCACGTGACCCCCACAAACATTGCGCCGCTGGGCAAGCGGCTGAACAACATGGTGAAGAAGAAGGAGCAGCCCGACCCGCCGCCGGAGGACAACAAGCAGAGCTTGGAGCTGCAGCTGCAGCAGCAGGCTGTGCAGGTGGCCGCCCAGAATATAATTGTGCAGTCGGCTCAGGGTGCGCCGACGGCCATTCCCGGCATCATCATACCGCACCACGGCCAGCAGCAGCTCTCGTGGACCTGCGAGCTCTGCGGGCGGATGTTCTCGAGCCGGGACGAGTGGTCCATCCATGCCAAGAGTCATCTGGAGGTGAGAAAATGTCGGTAGAGCCTCCAGGCCAGCGTAGCCCCGAGGAGATATTACAAGACCAGAAAGAACCGGATATAACCCGAGTCTATGTTTTGTGTTCCATTTTGCAGTATTGACAACCGGAACGGGTAGTCGTAGAGTCAACAAAACCAGCGGCAGCGGCGGCGTCGGCCGGAGTAATTGCTAAGGGAAATCGTGGCTACCAGATGGACGCCAACCAAAACCAAGTCCAGATGGAGGCCCATGCACACGCACGCAAGCAGAAGATAATCATACAAAATCAAATGATCCTCAATGCCAGCCATCAGCAGAATCAGCAGCAACAACAGCAGCAGCAGCAGCAACACCAGCAGCAGCAGCAACAGCAGCAGCAACACCAACAGCAACAGCAACATCAACAACAGCAGCAACAGCAGCAGCAGCATCAGCAGATTCACCATCATGTTGCACATGGGAAGAAAGCGGCCAGAAAGCATCAGCAACAGCAGCAGCAGCAGCAGCAGCAACAGCAACAACAGCACTTGCAGCAGGCCCCAACCAGTGCGCCTATGTACAATACCAGTAGTAGTAGCAATCAGAACCACAACCAGAACCACAGCCACAGTCACAGTCACAACCAGAACGGAGGAGGCGGCGGCAGCAACGGCACACAGCAGGGCCAAGAAGTAACTAACTATTAACAATCCACAAGTACACCAATCACCAATCAACAACCAACCAACTAACAACAACAACAACAACAACAGCTACAAACGGCACACATTGAACAACAACAACACCCAAAGAAAGACATTTGACAATCATCTTGTATACGTATCCCCAAAAATTGCCAATCCATTCTGTATCTCTACTTGTTCAGGTGTCGGTGCCGGTATCGCACATCATTGCCAATTCTCCGACAGCGGCCACCTACATGCAGGCCCAGCTTAGCGGACTGCATGCCACGAGCAGCATCGAGACCGGCAATATGAGCGGCATGCCCATCGTCACCTACAACGGCAATCAGTACTGCGTCATCACCAGGGCACCCGAGGAGCAAAAGTCCCTCGAATATGGACAGGGCGGGGATCCGGCCGCCGCTGGAGGCACCACCAACATAATTGTAATGTCGCCAATGCAACTGCTGCCCCAGCAGCAACAGCAACAGCAGCAACAACAACCACAGCAGCAGCAACCACAGCAGCAATAAACGGAATGAGGCAGGGCTGGACACGGATTCGATAGAGTTAATGGCAACTCGTAACTGGAGAAAGGCTCATTGGACGCCCATGGGGAAAGTGTCGAATCCATGGCCAGCTCGCAGCCCCATTTGCGTTTCCTGCAACCCATTTAGCCATTTCCTTCACAAATACCAATTGTAAATAGAGTCGAACCTAAGTATATGTTTAACAATAACAATACAAGAAGAAGGAAAGCAACCGCAGGAGAGAAGTTTTGTAAATGTCAGAGTTAGACCCCACACCTCTCCACGACGCCACTACCCAGCAGAGTCACACACACACACTCCAAGTCAGATCAAATCAAATCAAAAATGTATACAGCCTCACTTGAGTGTAGTCTAAGTAACCTTACATATCCCCCACCACCCACATACCGTACCCATAAGGCAGCCACCACACTGAGATAAATATCATTTAGATCCACAAGCAGCTCCTCCTCAAGAATAACCCAATCGAGATAAAACTATCCGCATGTAATCCGCCTGTGTATGATATTGTATGTGTTTCTATGGCATTGTTTGTACATTAAGCTAATTACGATACTACATTTACGTCTTCTAAAAAAACCAAAAAACCAGATAAAGATAGAAAGGGAGAGAGAGAGAGAACATGGAGCAAAGGAGGGGAATTATTACAAAGTAGTCTAGTAGTGTCCCACACAAAAACACACAAACAAAACACATCTCCTCCTCCCTCGGCATTCAATGGCAACCATGTGAGAAAGATCAAGCGAAAATAAATTTAATTAAATTAAATAAAAATGTACCAAGTGATTTTACTCAATTGATTGAGCTTTATAGGGCTTAGTTTTAGTTACTTATTTCCATTTAAAACTAGTTTCGAATGTGCAGAATGTTGCTGTAATTTTCGGACTTGATTTCCATTTCTTGGATTTCTTAATTAGATTCGATGCATTGAGTGACTTTGGTTTGTTCTAGCCATATTAAATCGCTAAAATCTTGTATTATTATGTATATACACAGCATCAGTTGAGTGGGTTACTTGTGACCAACTTCTAGAGTTGATCTATGGTAAGGCAACCCAATAATTGGCAGCTGTTGGCGCTGATTATTCTCGTTTTGGCAGAGTTTCGAGCCCCCAAAGTGGCCACAAAGTTCGTATACAAACCAAATCATTTGGTCAGCTCTGTGCTCTGAGCTCACGAAAAACGACTTTAAGATTGCTTGCAAAGTGGGAAAAAATGCCGCCATGTGACCTTAGATGGAAACTCGTCGCAGTCGCAGTGGCAGTGCCAGCAAATGCTCATAAATTCTGCTGCCTCGAATGCTGTTTGTGTTTGCGTTGTTACGAGTGTTTCTTAGGTCGTTTTTCGCAAGAATCGCAAATTAGTTGGAGAGCCGCAGCAGCATTCAGCACTGATCACCGATCAACGATCACCTGAACAAACTCGAAACCGAAACCGAAACTGAAAACGAACTCGAACGCCTACGACAGATGCTGCGAATGGCGTCAACGTCAACGTCTCGGCCAGCAAGTGGAGTGGCTGGAGGCCTACAGTCGTATTCTTTGTGTCAGTCGGTCTCCGGATCGGTTGCCAATCAGTTGACGTGTGTGACCCCGCGAACGCACCATGCTCAACGGAAAGTTCTACACGGGTCTGCCCCCCAAGATGGTGGAACGGCAGGGGGCCAAGGTGTACGATCGCCAGGAGTCGCACTTCTTCTGGCCGGACGACTCCCAGCTCGACTCGGCGGTCGAGACGCGGGTGAAGCGTCGCAACAGCCTACAGCTGGAGCAGCGACCGAGTTATGGCTCCGCCATTCAGCGACAGTCTTCCACACAGGATGCGGCACCCGAGGTGGACACACGTCGCATGTTTCACAAGGAATTTGCCAGCTCCTCCATCGAGTTCTACGACAACCTGCAGCCCAGCAAGGATAATCGTCCCTCTCTGAGGCGGAACATGCGCCGAGAGGTGACACCAAAGCTGACAGAAGTTTCGCCCTACAGGGGCAACCTTCCATTGCTCAGCTCCCACCCGGAGGAGGACCCCACCAGTGAGCGACGCAAGCAGGCGTACAGCTCCACGATACAGTTTTACGATTACGTCAACCAAGACGACTGCCACACGCCCACCCAGAACAACGCCAGGCGGCCCAAAATGGACATGAACGACAAGCGTGAGGTGGAGCTCAACTCCAAGAACAGTCCCAAGCTTCAGGTGAAGCGGAATGTGCGCAGCCTCAGCGTGGAGGTGGAGCCGAAGGTCACAAAGAAGCCGCTGAACGACAGTCGCCCCGAGTGGCAGTCCGAAAGCCGACGTCGTCCCGTTCTGCCACTGCAAGGGTCAGTGCCCAAGCGAATACTTAAGCAGGCACCGGCCGAGGATCTGGACTGGATGGACAGCGGACTCCGCAGGCTGCAGCTGCGAAGTCCTGGGCTGCGAAAGAAACATGTCACCTACAATGAGGAGGCCGACGAGTATGCCTACTACGATGACAGAGGCAGAGACAGAGACAGAGACGAGGCACCACAGCAGCCAAATATGCCGACCGGAAGTCGGGAACAGTCAGAGCAGCGATCGTATATGGAAACTAGTCGCACGAAGCCATTAAATAATTATAATAAGAGTATACACAATAATAACCACTCTGCCAGCAGCACCAGCACACGGAAAATCTTGCCGAAATCATCGTTGCCAGAGGCAGCGGCCACGGGGGATGAGGCGGGGTCCCCCGACCCACGCAAACACCTGCGGAGCAGCCTCTGCTTCAACGGCGACGCTCTCATTGTGGGCACCCAGACGTCATCCGGCGATTCGCAGGCGCGCCGCAGCTCGGCTCGGCAGCGAATCAGCGTGGGACTGCCAGACTGACAAAGAGAGAGAGAGAGAGCGCGAGAGTGGGAGTGGGGAGCAAGAGAGAGAACTTCGAATGCATATGGCAGATGGCAGATGGCAGGGTATTTACATCAACGATCATCTGCTAAACTTTGACTTCACCCACAGGCGGCATCAGTGATTTTGATTTATGCACGAACCAACCTTGATCTTGACTAATCCATGAGCAGAGGCAGCAGCAGCCGCAGTGCCCAGATGTATTAATTTAGTTAGTAATGAATGGAAATATGCTAATAAACTGATGTATAACCCAATGCACATCGAATCGCCAATTGGGCAACGCTCAAGCAGCTCCAATTTCGTGGATAATTGAGCGCCTTTAGCGATCATTCAGATCTCGGTTTCAATTTCAGGCAAGTCATTGCTCGGGGCTGCCCACCTGCTTATGAACATTTGCCAAAGCACCAACCCCAGACTCCAGACGACTCCTTTCACAAAATTTTCACAAGACATTTCACCGAAAAGCAAAAAGCGTTTTGTGGTCTGGCATTGTTAAGAAACGAGCGGAAACCAGCCGCAGCCCCAGCCACAGCCCCCACGTTCAAGTCCACTTTTTGATTTGTTCACAAGGAAAACGGAAATTATGCGGTGCGGTTTCAGTGGCTGCCACAGCAATTGTCACGCGTTTTGAACTTGAGCTTGACCTTGGCAACAGAGAGCCACAGAGTGGGTTCGGGTGGGCTGTGGCTGCTGCTGTGCCACCCAGCTGCCTGATGTCCAACCCGCAAACGAGCTGCAATTGCCGCTAGTTGCATAATTATGTACCATGTACCAAGGCCACCCCAATCAAGGCGGCATTAGACTCGTATTTAATTAGAGGCATCACTTTAATTGTTTTAATTTAATGGCAATCTGAATCTCTTCCCTGGGAATGTCTGCAGCTGAGTTATCTGTACAGACAGGCTGGACACATACACAGGATAAGCGTTTAAGTAATTGTGCAAATGAAGCGGGGATAAAATGTTATGCAATACACAAAACTGAAGTCCCAGTCCGCGGACATGTCCATATCCACATCCATTTCCACTTCCACCTACCGCCAGATAACCAGAAAAAGCTACAAGAAAAAAAGAGTCTCTGCATCTTCCGCATTTCGTGCGCGCATCCTGCCATAGAAAGTAGTCCAAGCGTGCCAACAAAAAAGGCCATATCCACATCCAGCTCCGGCTCGAGCTACAGCAGCTGCCTAACATTTCCTGGCTCGTTCGTTTTGGCCCCGACTGAACCTGAACTTGTGGCCAACTCAGAGGGGGGAGCAGCATCTATTGGATAAGAGATGCTAGAGTCAGAGCTTCTCCAACTACCAACTACTTGCAGAAACCCGTTTGCCAGACACACAATGCTGATGAAGAAGCGCCGATAGGGCGGGTGTTTTGACTGCCAGTTAATTTGTCTACTTTCTTATTGAGTCACAAAAAAAGAGCAAAAATCATTTAACCCAAGCAAACCCACTTCAACGTGGCAAATCGCCATCGTTATTCGTAATTACAGCCATAAAGAAACATTTTATTTATGCCCCTCTGCGCATGCGCTCTATTTCCTACTGGAAATGCAAATGATGCCTCAGTTTCAGCCACAGCCTCAGGCCTGACTCTAACGCTGACTGGCTCTGGCTCTGGCTTGGACTCTACAGTGGAGTTGCAACAAGTCCATGCGTGAAGCACAGACAGACAATGATTTCAATCTGTTGTACGGCGGCGGCCTGCCCCGGCAGGTTTCAATTGCAAAACATGTTGCCGTTGCGGCAGGTTCGAGTCGCAGTCGTCGTTGCAGATTCGATGAGGAGGAAGCTTCCAATAAAACTGTTGCGTTCATTGGCCAAACTTTCAGTTTCGTTGGGGCCACGCTGGTGGTTGATTCAATAATAAGTTACAGAGACCCAGGTCCCTGAGTGAAGCCAAAGACGGAACAAACCCACTTTAAGCCCTCCCGCCACACTCGCAATGCGTCTGTACTGGAATGTAAGCGGAAAGTCGAATCTAAAAGAGCATCGGGATTAAGTCTAATCATTACAGTTCTTGGTTATGGCAATGCTGCTGGTCGTGACCGTCTCTAGCCTGAGACCGGCAAGGTCCTACTATCGCAGAAGCTACTACAGTGCGCTGGCCCCGGGATCCGGACAGGGCTCGGGTTCAGTGCCAGGACCCGTACGATTGGCACCCTCTGGCTATTTGCGCTCCGATCTGCAGACAAACGAGAGCAAGCGCCGAGATGTTACCAAGAAGTATCCCAAGAAGTCCCACTACAGACCTTATGGATCGGTGAGTTGTGTCTGTCTGTAACTAAAACTCCCAACTTAACCGATCGACCTTCTGGTAGGAGGAAGATGACTATTCCGGAGAGCGTTACAACTCCGCCGAATACTCGGGCGAGTCGTCCGTGCAAGACAGTCGCGAGTACACCATCGGCACCCAGATACGAGTCCAACATCCCATCACAGTACCCAAAAAGGCCGGACCCAGCTCCAGCTATGCCAAGCAGCCCAAGTACGTGACCGCCATTCCATACAAGAGCAGCGGAGGCTTCCAATCCGATGTGCACGTGGGATCTGGTGAGGATTTGTCGCCACACAAGCGCCCCAAGTGGACTCAGGTGCAGTATGAGCCAGAGCCAGATCCATTCCATCTGGTGCCGCCGCCCAAGGCCACGGGGTCCTCCAGCAGCAACTCCTACAGCGTCTTCGAACCGGATCATGATGACTACGACGTGGTGCCCCTGTCGCGTCCCAAGCCTCACGACCGCTACAAGAACGTGGCTTCCAAGAAACAGATCGACGCGTACCTAGAGGACCAGCAGAAGCTGCTCGACGATGCCATCAAGCTGCAGCTGCTAAACAACCCCAAACTACAGAAATTCCTCAAGGCTCAGGCTCACGAGCATGAGCAGGAGTCCAGGCCGGATCTCGACATCGAAGACTTTGAGTCCTACCCGCCACCCAACTTCTCCGGCCCCGGCCCCCTGCGCAACAAATACATCGAACATCCGCCACCACCGCCGCCCAAGGGCCCGCGCTCCCGGCGACGTCCACCAAGCGGAGATCTGAAACGGCAGCCCAAGTCGAAGCCGATCATCAAGCCCAAGCGGAAGTACAGATCAACGGCACTGGTCATCAACGTGTAGAAAGCTGAGGTAGCCCTTAGTCCTTTAAAAACGTCGATTAGTTCTAGTATAGTGCTGTATATAATAAAAGACCATTTATTTTATTGAATCTCTTGGCCAGTGTACAATCTACATGCATATACAGTTGACGGCTGTACCTACATACATACATTCATATAACTTACAATGCGCTCGCGGTACATTTTTACTAAATTTTACTGAGTGGCAACAATCTGCTTTTATAGCTACATGCTATAAATACGCTATAATTGTCGTTGTGAAGCGTGATCACCGGTACAATAAGTTGTTCGCCTTCAAGTGTACGATATTAAGGCTGTACGGATTGAAGAAAACGTATATACTGGAAGCAAAGCAAAGCTAAGACAGGCACCCAGACCAGGCCTCAGACCATAAAAGAAAATCAATAGTTTTAGTCCAAAAACATACTTTATTCGTATACCTAAAATCGGAGTACACTTTGAGAGTTTTCGTTATAGTTTCCCACTGACTTGTCAACAGTATTCAAGCAGTTCACAAACAAATTTTAGTCAATTATTTTGTTTATATTTTAGTGATTTATTCCGTTATTCAGTGATCTTGTGTAGTAAAATTAGACGTTGTACATACAGTCTGGCAGCGCTGCCATCAGCTGTTCTGCATTCAAAGATAAGAAAAGGTCAAGAGTCGCTATTGTCGGTACCTTACAAAAAGCGTGGACGTTTCGCTATATGATCACATCCCAAAACGCAGCAACATGGACGTTAAAGAGTTTGAAGTAAACAAAACCCTTCCGTATGGTGAGTAGGTGCCAATGTTTGGAAACCGAATCTGCGATTAACTTGTGTCACATTTATGCAGACCCCTCCCTGCTCGCGGTCAACATTTCGCTGCGACAGATTGAGGAGATTGCCATGACGGTGTCTCAACGCAGCCATGTGAGTGGCGTAAATGAAATTGCCTGGGCCTTGAGGGCCCTGATGCTGACGGATCTGACGACTCTGGCTGGAGATGATACGGCTGCCAACGTTCGTAGGCTGTGCCTGCGTGCCTGCTACCCCTTCGAGCCACAATTCTTTGATAAATTCTTCGAGCGAGCTCTGCACTCCGAGATTCACACTGCCGCCGTCTGTGTGTACCCTGCCAGGGTGAAGGATGCCTACCAAGCACTACAGCAGTTCGACAAACTGGACAAGGTGGCCATTGCAGCCGTAGCCACTGGCTTTCCCACTGGCCAGTACGGATTGCAGACGCGTCTGCAAGAGATTAGCCATGCCATTCTGGCTGGTGCAACCGAAATTGATATCGTGATCAACCGTCAGCTCGCTTTGGTCGGCGACTGGGAGGCCCTCTACAATGAGGTGGTGCTGATGCGCAGTGCCTGTGGCCAGCGCGCACACTTGAAGACCATTCTGGCCATTGGAGAACTCGGCACAATGGAGAATGTAAGCTGATGAAACGAAATTCGTGATTACTAGCTGATTGGCATCCTCATTGCAGGTTTACAAAGCGGCCATGGTGTGTATGCTGGCTGGAGCGGACTTTATCAAAACCTCCACAGGAAAGGAGGCAGTGAATGCCACGCTTCCTGTTGGGTTGGTTATGATTTTCGCCATACAGGAGTTCAAGCGTCGCACCTGCCAGATTGTCGGTCTGAAGCCCGCTGGCGGGGTCCGCACTGTACGTGATGCCATCGCCTGGATGACACTGGTGAACGAGACCCTCGGGATGCGCTGGCTGCGTCCTGAACGTTTCCGTTTCGGTGCATCTGGTCTGCTGGATGACATTGAGCGGGTAGTGCGCGAAGGCGTGGCAAAGCTAGAGGCTGAAGAGGCCGACAAATCCAAACAAGCCGGACCGGGAGTGGAGCAAAATGCCGTGGAAAACCTGTGCAAAGATCTGCGCAAGATAAAGGAGGAGAAGTAGACACACTCTGCTCTAGCCATTCACACTTCTTGCATGGAGTTGTTACTGCATTTATAACTGCATTTTTATACCGTGACTAAAATTACAAAAATTAACAATATTTGTATGAGTTCTGCTGATCCTGTCCAGTCGAATTGTCGCGTCTTCAGCAGAGTTACTTTGTATTATTTTTGGAAATATTCAGAAAATTACAGGGTGTACACGGTTCTACGTTCGATCTACATGTATAATATACACAGAGATGGCGATAGATTCCTGCTAATTTTAACACTCTGGCAGCACTCAGTTTTTATAGCGACACACTATAAATACTAATTTTCGATGGAACCATAAAGGAAATTTTATGAACTTTTATGAATGTTTATGAAATTGTATGGGCGCCTTTGAACGCACATCCGATTTATCCGAAATCGCGGCATGCTCCAATGTCTGATAACTTGAATCGTTAAAATAATTTTAATATTTGGATGGGAAGAGTCCTTTGGCGGTCCTTGAGTTATATTAAGGGCAACGTTGTTTTGCCATCACTCTGGTCGGAGTAATCTCTACGGTATATAAAATTCAAATTAAGCGACATCAGATTTTAAATGAGATTACTTCGTCAGTTAGCTGCTTAAATTATATTGAGCTCTCACACCCACAGCCATAATCAGTGCAGTCACCTCCAGCATTTTCAACGTTTGCCATTTTCAGAGTAAATCAATTCATTGAATTTACGAGTGCATAAAGAAGTAGCCACATCAAAGCACGGGGCTTTCAATAGCACACCTTGCAAACACCTGTTCCGATGCGATGCCCGCACATTCTTGACTTTTACCTCTTTCGCAAAAGCCGAACGAAAATCCGCAATTGAGCAAGCGAATCCGAGTCTGAGTCCACGCGATTGCGATTGCCACAAAAGCGGGTGCAAAAAAACAAAAAAAAAAAAACAAAATACAATAAGAAACGAAACCAAATTGATTTTCTTAATTGACTAAACAAGCCAGTAGCCGCCAGTCCCAGGCACAGCCCAGTAGCAAAAGCCAATCCAATCGAACCAGAGCCGGACAGAGCCAGTCCACAACAAAACTGACCTTGAAAGCTGCTGTTGCTAATGCTCGTACTCGTGGTGGTGCAAAAGAATGCCTAACAATGGATGTGGAAAGTGAGTTTAAGCTGTAAAGTAGCTACACCCTGTCGATGGGGCTCGTGGGTGGGATTAGGCTCTGCTAAATCGAACATAGAATCCTGGACAAGTCGAACAAGAATTACTCATTAATTTGCTTCTACTTAGTACCCCCGTCCCCAACTACTTATGCATAGTTTTCCGGATCAACATCAGCATTAGACTGCCGCCAAGTTGATTTCATTTTCATTGGAATTTTGCACAGTTGGCCAAGATTACTGTCAAATGGGCAAAACCAGTTTCCAAAAGCCTTTCCTTGTTGGCTGCTGCTGCCCATAGAATCGTAACAGAAACTGAGACCGAAACTGGGATTGGAACTCGTTTTGCATGCACGAAAGTTGGTTGTGTAATGCCGTCGGTGGGGGTGGTACTCGTACTGGCTCTGGGGAGTGGGCGTCGGCGAAGTGACTGCCGGAGGTGTTTAGATAAATCTGTTAGAAATAATTGAACAAAAGACTTAAGAAACGAACAGGATTAAGATTCAATCAATTTCAAGTATCGTATATTGCGCTTACAGATCTATTTATGTACTCTATACAAATTGCTCAAAAGTCCCAAGGCCCAGAATATTTATGATTTTGGATTTGGATTTGGATTTGGATTTGGATTCAACATCTGCGAACCGCGACAAGTTTATTTGCTTCGCTTTACATTTAGACAGCTTCGATTAGAGTAAGAATTATATAGCTGGAAATGGATCTGAGGAGAATTATGAGTTACAAATAAACGAAGAGCGGCCCATACGCATATAGGAAGTACGACACATAGTTTACAATTTGCTCTTAAACATATCACACAAGAGTTTTGATGAAGTCAAGAATAAGAATCAGGTGGAAATCGGGGGAACTAGTTGTGACAGAAGAGAGGGCGTGTTAGGGGAGTAAAGAGAGTAAAGAGTAATGAAGAAGATGCAACATCTATAACTATCTCTAAGTCTCCTTGGATCCCATTAGACCTTGTTGAAGGAGTAGGTGAAGCCATCTGGCGTGCGGTTCAGGGAGAGCTTGCCGGGCGGCGAGAAGCGATGGGGGTTGGGCGTGGTCGTGGTGTAATACGCCTGCTGCTGGGGCTGCTGCTGCGGCTGGTGGTACTGCGGCTGCGGGGCGGGCTGGTGGTACGTCTGCTGTGGGGCCGGATTGTAGGCGGGCTGCGGGGCGGGGCGGTACTGCGGCTGAGGAGCCGGCTGATGATAAGTCTGCTGGTTCTGGCCGAAGCTGGGATCGTTATAGCGGGGATCGTACGACCCATCATCGTAGTCGTTGCTGCGGAAAGAGGGCTGGTGCTGGGGTGCGGGCGCCTGGTACTGCTGCTGTTGCTGCTGCTGGGGCTGATACTGTGGCTGTGGCTGGTATCCGGCGGTGGGCACGGGCTGTGGTGGTGCGGGTGGTGCCTGGGGCAGATGGTCGCCAGAGGCCTGGAAGCTGTTGCAGTAGAGAAAGGGAGACTTGATCGACTGAATACCGGAATAAATAAAACCTCCTCTTACCCATTCTTGCCCGCCGTGTAGGAGATGGTGCGACGCTGTCCGGAGGGATCCACGTAGCTATAGCTGCCGTGGCGGGTGCCATCGGAATCGGTTTCCTCCTTGAAGTTGATACCATCCTCCTGCTCGTAGGCGGCACCGAACTTGCCGTCGCCGGACAGATACCTCTGCTCGCTGATGATGGCCGCCGTCTTGGGGTCCTGGTGATAGTTGTTCTGGCAGGCAGCCAGGGCCACCAGGGTGGTCAGGGCGAGCTGTCAAATATTTCTCATAAGCATCACACGAACAAACACTCGCTCCAACCAAATCAAATCAATCAATCAATCAAAACTCACAAAGCGGAACATTTTGTTAAATATTTTTGTTGGGGATGTGTGTATCCTTGGTAAGCTACGGCGTAAACTGCACTCTAGATCTCTCTCTCTCTCTCAGTCTTGATGGAGAATTTGGGGTATCACTCGCGCCTTT